AAATTCTGTACCCCCCAACAAAAAAAAAAAAAAAAAGAGAGAGAGAGGGAGAGAATGGAAGGAAGGAAGGAAGGAAGGGAGAAAACTGAGGGAAACGCTAGAAACAAGTGATGGGGTGCCCTGTCAGAGGAGTTGCCAGGATCTGAAGCAAGTGACAGGGGTGCCCTATCAGAGGGGGTTGCCGGGAGCTGATGGAAGGGGACAGTGTTTGTACTTTCTTTTTTATTTTTGGAGACGGAGTCTCTCACTCTGTCACCCAGGCTGGAGTGTAATGGTGCAATCTCTGCTCACTGCAACCTCCGCCTCCCAGGTTCCAGCAATTGTCCTGCCTCAGCCTCCCCAGTGGCTGGGACTACAGGAGCACGCTGCCACACCCAGTTAAGTTTTTGTATTTTAGTAGAGACAGGGTTTCACCATGTTGCCCAGGCTGGTCTCGAACTCCTGAGCTCAGGCAATACACCTGGTTCAGCTGCCCAAAGTGCTGGAATTACAGGCTTGAGCCACCGTGCCCAGCCAGAGCCACTGTGCCCAGCATTTTTTTTTCTTTTTTTTATATAGAGTTTCGTTTTATTGCACAGGCTGGAGTAAAGGTGGTATGATCTTGGCTCACCGCAACCTCTACCTCCCAGGTTCAAGCGATTCTCCTGCCTCAGCCTCTTGAGTAGCTGGGATTACAAACATGTGCCACCACGCCTGGCTAATTTTTTGTATTTTTAGTAGAGACAGGGTTTCATCATGTTGCCCAGGCTGGTCTTGAACTCCTGACCTCAAGTGATCCACCCACCTCAGCCTCCCAAAGTGCTTGGATTACAGGCATGAGCCACCGTGCCCAGCCATACACTTTCATGCTTTCTTAATGTTTGAAACACCTGAATGTATCACCTATTGAGTATGTTAATAAATAACTACAAAAATATTTGTGAAAGAACGAACTCACTTGGGCATCTGCCCTGTGTGCATCTGCCACTTGCTGTATAAGCACTGCCTCTGCACGAACAGGAGTGTGCAGTGCACAGGGCCCTCTGTGTTCTAGCTCTAGGCCAGGCCTTAGTAGAGTGGAGACCCTCTGCACCAGCCTAACCTGCTCGAGGAGGAGAGTACCCCACCCAATCTATAGCTAACACCATGTCTAGCTATGCCTCAGCTGCATGTGATCTTCTGTCCCCTGCCACCTGTGCAAAGTGGACCCTGTTGGTCCTCCCTGACAGGTGGAAGCCTCAGGGGATCCCTGGGCTTTGTGCTGCGAACCATACATAGGCTAGTCAGTACTGACCAGCCATGTCTTGGCCTGGCCATGGTTGGTGGGACTCCTCTAGGGTCCAGCCCAATCGCAGTCCAGTTGGCAGAAGACACCCACTGACTGAGGGTGACTAATCTCCTTGGAATGGCATCACTCCTCCCTTCCTTCTCTAAAGTAGGGAATATGATCCTGGGTTTCCTAGTCATGAGGTCACTGAGGCCCCCAGCCTCCTGGAGACATAGGCCTCTGAGTTACCTTCTGCTCTGTCTTGACTTTGGCATTGTAGAAGGAGATGGAATCAGGGCCCTCAGGAAGCACCCTCTGCTGCAGCTGGCTGAATTTGTCCTGGTCATCTTCTCCCTGGGGGAGGAGAGTCTCTTTAGCATGGTATTGTCAGGATATACCCTAGCAGAGCCTGTGATGGGCATCAGGGCGGTTTTTGCCATACACCCCCATACCAAAAGGGCATCTCACAGCCCTCCAGCCCCCATGTCTGTCAGTGTTCCCACAGACAACCTGTAACTGCTGCCTGAGCAGGATGAACTGCTTTAGAAAGGTGGCAGTAGCAAGAGTGGTATTTTCCCCCATCCCTTGGTAACCGAGGAGAGACCTGTACCTGCCCACCTGCCTGGGCTGGCTATGGAGAGGCTGGGTGCACCACACACACTGCCATGTTTGTGATGAGAACAGAGATCAAGGGGCACTGCCCATTGCCCCATGCTTAACCACTGCCACACTCCTGCCCTTGTGCTGCTCACCAGAGACACAATCCTGTTCACAGGGACCATGCCTGGCCGGATGCTGCCGCCTGGCTTCAATGCCATCTGCATGTCCTCAGGGATGACAAAGGACTCATTGTACCAGATGTCAAATTCTACAAGGAGGTGAGGAGACAGAACCTGAGGAAGCTGGTAAGGGCTGTGTGCTCTCATCTGTCTTATATCTGTCGCAGACTCACCACCTGTTTACTTTCTGCTCCAGGGTCTTACCCTGTCCCCATCTCCATCTCTGGCCCTCACAGTCCTGGGAACCACACATCTGAAGCCCCTGCCCAGCCCCTGGCTCTGCCAGAGAGAAACTCTGAGGGTGCTTCCAGAACTCAGGCTGTGGCCTCTCCCTGAGCCTCCTTGTACCTCAGGTGGCGGCCAACCTTCCCAACTGTCGCACCCATGAGCAGGCGGTGGCGACACTGATCCACTAGGTGCTGGCAATACTGGATCTCAGCCCTGAGGTCACGCAGGTCCTGGTACTCGCTGCGGTACTGCTTCTTGAGGTCTTTGAGCTTCAGGATCAGCAGGAATTCCTCCTCATCGATGATCATCAGCCCCTTGCTTTCATATTCACCTGTAAGGTGATGGAAGAAGTCAGGAAATGAGGTGTCCACCTGAAATTGGGGGAGGAAGGGATTCCAGAAGACGGGCACAGAGCTGGCAAATCATGAAGACAGGAGACCACAGGCAGGGCTGGGTCATGGCAAGGAGATGGGTAAAGCACAAGAAGGCCAGGCTGCCAGGGCATAATCTCACAGGGAGGGGAGCTCAGCTCAGTGGGGCCACACTGGCATTTTAGGACAAACAGGAGCAGAGGGCAGGGGAAGGTGCAGAAGGCCCATGCTCCATGCTTATTTTATTTAAAACTCTATTAGCCAAAGATATTTAGTAAGCACCCCTAGTATACAAATGTCTATTTTTCTTGTAAATTACATCTACAAACTGCCATCACTGGCTAGTACTACAAGGCACTTGGGCAAGGCTCCTTGTTAATAACAGCAGATGTTCAAATTGTCTCTTGCTGATTCCCACATCCACCAGCTACTTTTTTTTTTTTTCCTTTTTGAGATGGAATGTTGCCTTGTTGCCCAGGCTAGAGTGCAGTGGCACAATCTCAACTCACTGCAACCTCCATCTCCCGGGTTCAAGCGATTCTCCTCCCTCAGCCTCCTGAATAACTGGGATTACAGGCATGTGCCACCACGCCCAGCTAAGTTTTGTAGTTTTAGCAGAGACGGGGTTTCACCATGTTGCCCAGGCTGGTCTTGAATTCCTGACCTCAGGTGATCCGCCCACCTCGGCCTCCCAAAGTGGTGGGATTACAGGCGTGAGCCACCATGCGCAGCTCACTAGCTACCTTCTTGTTAGAGATGATTAGACATCTATATCGTGTTGAGTAGCTGTCAAAGGGCTCCAGGGACAAGGGTTAGTGCTATTCTTCTCTTTGCAAGGATCTTTTAAGGTCTGTCAGTTCAGTGACAGTTGTTGGGTTAACACAAAATAATATGATGTACAAAGCCATTCACCCTGCTCTCCACTGCTCACAGCACCTGAAAGCTTAGCAAAGGCATCACATCAATCCCCATCCCCAAGTGTAAGGCAAGTGTGTTCTGCACATGACCTGAGGTGTGTGGCTGGGGTGCATGAGGCAGCCCCCAGGTGCTAGAGGAAAGTGTTAGCACTTCCACTGATGTTTATTGAGAAAAAAGTGAGACACATTAAAAGTCACTAATGGAGTCATTAATGGAAAAGCAAGTGTCTTGACTTTGGGATCTGGGATCTGGAGTGGGGAGTGGGAGTCACCCTCACCAGGTGTCTCACCTTCAGTGCGGAGCAATCTGCTGCGGTCTCTATGCTGTGGGAGGTCTCTGATGTGATTATTTGAATAAGCCACAATCCTTTACAGAGTAGAGTCTTTACAGTACTCTGTTGAGATGGGGAGTAACTGTGAACACCTTTTGTTCTACTCAAAGAATCTCTGATTATCTCCAGGAAAAAAAAGAGTTGAATTAAAGATGATTTTACATTTTTACATTTTTCTTTTTTTCTTTTCTTTGTTTCTTTTTCTTTTTCTTGAATTACTGGCCTCAAGTAATCCTCCTGCTTCAGCCTGTCAAATAGCTGGAATTACAAGCGTATGCCACCACAACTGGCAATTTTGTATTTTTCTTTTACAAAAGACTACTGTTCCAAATATGCTGACCTTTCTGGGTCAACAAGTGGCTATCAATCATAAGGTATCTAAGAGATTGATTGATTGATTGATTGATTGGACAGGGCCTCACTCTGTTGCCAAAGCTAAAGTTCAGTGACACGATCATGGCTCACTGCAACCTCAACCTTCTTGGCTCAGGTGATCCTTTCACCGTGCCTCCCAAGTAACTGAGACCATAGGCATGTGCCACCACGCCCAGCTAATTTTTTATGTTTTTTTTGTAGAGACAGGGTCTCACTCTGTTGCCCAGGCTGGTCTCAAACTCCTGTGCTCAAGCGATCCACCCACCTCGGCCTCCCAAAGTGCTGAGATTACAGGTGTGAGCCACCTTGCCTGGCCTAGGAGATATGACTTTACTTGATCTGTTCAAGTAAATTCAATAAAATAAAGGTATTTTATTAATATTTTAATAATCAGTGGAAAAACACTACTTTTGGAGGAGAGCACAAAAATGAGTTTTTTTGATATTGATAGATAAAATTTTAAATATTAAAAATTTGTTGGGTCAGGCGCTGTGACTCACACCTGTAATCCCACCACTTTGGGAGGCTGAGAAGGGCAGATCACGAGGTCAGGAGATTGAGACGATCCTGGCTAATATGGTGAAACCCTGTCCCTACTAAAAATACACAAAATTAGCCAGGCATGTTGGCAGGTGCCTGTAGTCCCAGCTACTCAGGAGGCTGAGGCAGGAGAATGGCGTGAACCCAGGAGGTGGAGCTTGCAGTGAGCCAAGATCACGCCACTGCACTTCAGCCTGGGCGACAGAGCGAGACTCTGTCACACACACACAAAAAATTTTTTTTGGCCGGGTGCAGTGGCTCACACCTGTAATCCCAGCACTTTGGGAGGCTGAAGTGGGCAGATTACCTGAGGTCGGGAGTCCAAGACCAGCCTGACCAACATGAAGAAACCCTGTCTCTACTAAAAATAAAAATTAGTTGGGCGTGATGGCGCATGCCTGTAATCACAGCTACTTGGGAGGCTGAGGCAGCAGAATTGCTTGAACCTGGGAGACAGAGGTTGCAGTGAGCCAGGATCGTGCCATTGCACTCCAGCCTCGGCAACAAGAGTGAAACTCTGTCTCAAAAAAGAAAAAAAAATAATTTTAATGCCTTCCTCATCTCATCCTTTGAAACTGTCCACTTTCAGGTGTATTTAGGAGTACATGATATGCCAGCATAGCATGCATATATTTTATCTTAAATATGTAATAAGGAGCTGTATGTTCAAAGAAAGTGTGAGCAGAGAGGACAAAGAAGTGCTTGTTTGTCCCATAAAATCTTCACCATGTCCTCTCCCTGTGGTTCTGGATAGGGGTATGTCTATAGCCACCATCACTGGCCTTCTCCAGCTTCCCAGACCCGTGGAGGGCTTTGCCCTTAGGAATAGCATGTCATAATTGGTCTGTGAGGTATAAGAATGGCCCCAAGAATTAGAACATAAAGTTGCCCTCTGAGAAATAATTGTTTAATTTTTTTTTTTTTTTTTTTTCTGAGACAGTCTTGGTCTGTCACCCAGACTGGAGTGCAATGGCGCAATCTTGCCTCACTGCAACCTCTGCCTCCTGGGTTCAAGCAATTTTCATGCCTCAGCCTCCCAAGATGCTGGGATTACAGGTGTGCATCACCATACCCTGCTCCTCTGAGAAATAAATGAGTAAAATGCACCTTCTGTGAGTGAGATGATGCATCTGACTTGCAGGAATAAACCAAGTGACATCTGGAGATCATTTATGAAAGCTGGCCTGGAACAGGGTTGTGATTTAGCAAGGGAAAGCCCAGTAACCTGTGGTGTTTCCTGTCTGGAAGAAGACAATAAGACTGAGCCAGGAGTGTGAAGAACAGTGTGGCCTCTGAACCACCTGTCCCAGAGTTGGAATTGTCACTCATTAAAATGCAGGTCCTGGGCCCTGCTCCATCTCTCCTCAGTCAGAACCACTTGCTGAGGGGCTGGGAATCTGCACTTGACCAGCCCTCCCAGATAAGTCATCTGAACACGTAAGCTTGATGGGCCCTGGCCCTCAGTGCAGGTGTGGGCGGTGCACACCACCAGGACAAGGACACTGGGTCAGGGTAACCAGGTGAGCACCCTCCCCACATTGGGGGCCTTTGCTCTTTGAGCCTGGAGCACCCTCTGCCACCTGCCCTAGGAGACAAGACTTTGACAGACCAGCACTGGTGTCACGGATTCAGCATAGGGAATGGCCTTACTGAAAGTGAGTCCCTTGGCTCTCTGGCATCCATATTCTTGTTCCCTTACTTGGTTTTCCATAGTCCCTACCAGCAGCCCCACCTCAATCTGACCACCTGGAGCAGTGAGGAAACCACACAGAGACCCACGGACCTTGTAGAAGTCACCAGCTACCCATCTCCCAGTGATACCTCTGCAGGACAAAAGGCCTGTTTCACCATGGACAGTAGCACATATGGGGTGGAAGGCCCAGCACCTAGGTCTGAGATAATGCAACAATGAGGGACCCACAGGCAGAGGCTGGCTGACAGGGGAGGACTCTGAGGCTCTCAGGGGCTGACCAGAGCTAAGTGATCTGACCTATGGGTGAAGGCCACACCCCAGTACCCCCACTGGCCCCTCCCATCTCAGTCCTCTAGTGCCAAGGGCTGTTCTGCTTCGACCAGCATGACTCTGAGACCCCAAAGCTCCTTAGCCATCTTTCCATCACATTTACCTTGCTTCTCCCGCAGTGACTTCTGGAAATCCAGGGCCTCCTTGGTCACATCAATCTCCCGCTTGATGGCATTGATGCGCTGCGTGGTCTCGCTGGCCCTTTTCCTCCGTTCGTTCAAGATGGATTTGTTTTCTTTGAAAATTCGGTTGATCTCACTACCTCGCTCGTTCTTAAACTCCTCAAAGGCCACTGGTTTGGAGGGTGGGGTGTCGGGCCTTGAGATGCAAGGGTGAGACCAAAGAGGATAAATGAGGTGGCTGCCTTGGAGCCACCAGGCACTTCATCTTTCTTCCCTGGGGCTTCTGTGGGCAGGAGGCAGAAGTGCTAGGCACCACCTACCCCAGACAGGAGCTAAACTGTGTGTGAATCATTCCCTCCTCTTTGTTTTACTCAGCACATGTACAAGGTCACATGCCCATGGCAGAAAGGGAGGAAAGCAAGGAAAAGTATAAGAAAAAAACAACTATAAGAAAAGAAAAGAACAATGGCGTATGGTGGTGTGTCTCCTTCTGGATTTCTTTCCTTTTTTTTTTTTTGAGA